CACGGGGTGGCGGGGGGTGGGCAAAATACCCAAATGTTTGGCATTCAGAGACATGAGAAGAAATTTCATTGATTTCTTATGTTGAGGTGTCTTACAGAGCCAGTGCCTGACAGAGGTCCGTCTTTAGCACCTCCCTTACCTATGTAATAATGTCTTATAGGTCTGGTCACTAAGGAAGAATGACAGGCTTCTCTCCTGTCTTTGCTTCTCCTTTCTCTATCCCCTCTCCATGTCTGGTCTACAGTTAAAGGTTTTTGAAGTGCATGCATTTGAGTGAGGGGGACAGGAGATTTCAAATGCTACAATGACAGCAAAACCATCATTGTGTTGCAATACTTTTTTTTTCTGCTGGTATAGTTGATGTATTCTGGATCCCAATTTAAGTCTGTTCAAGAGGACCAGACAGAGAAAATGTTAGAAGTGTGTGTCCAGAAGCAGTCGTGGGAGCCACTCTAAGCACGTATTTTCTCTCTTATATGCTGCAAAATAGAAACTCCATAATGATTCACTCCATTGTTACAACTCACCATTGTTAGAAAATGGCTAAATATTGCAGTCTGCCCTAGGCTGACTTGACATGGGTCTGTCAAGAATACTAAATGTATTGACATCCACTGAGTTCAGGAAGCTATTCTCCAGAAGCACAGATGTTGTCATGCAAAAAAAAAAAAAAATTACTTGACCATTTTTGACTCACTCCTCTGAATTTATGGCAAAAAAACCTGTATACCCTATTTCCTTAACAGTCTTTATAACAGATTATTTTTCTTCCAAGCCAGTTTGTACCCTCATTCTAGCTCTTCCAAGCCAGTTTGTGCCCTAATTCTAGCTTGTAACAGTACCTTGTGTTGCCTAAGTTAACATACTTAGCAAAAAGCTTCCTCAACTGAGATTCTGTTTCATGTGGCTAGGGGAAAAAATACCTTACATAGTCCTTTTAATGCCATCACAACCCCCAATCCAGTAAGGAGGAGAAAGGGAAATGGGATGTGCACAGTACCTCTCACCTGAGAATAAAACAGGGAGTATGTGCAGACAAGCAAGAGAAGAGGAGCACACCGAGCCCAAAGTAGGACAGAGGTGGTGTGAAGGCTAATGGGAATGCCTGGGGCAGAGGTACCTGGCAGATGAGCGATATTTAAGGAAACTACAAAGGGAATGGATAGATACAAAGAACTCTCAATGTGTACAGTGTACATACCTGCAGAAGCGATAAAGCAGGCCAGCTCCTCAAAGACTAGGACACCGTCTTTCACTGGCCATCGACAGAGAAGGTGGGGCAAATGCATATAATGGACAGCCAAGCCTTTCCAAATCTCCTTTCTTTGCCGGTGTCTCGAATGCTTACATTCTCAAATGCCCACCTCTTCCTAGCAATTAATTTCCTAGTGTGCCCTGAGATTACACTTCTTACTGACATGAATTCTAGCTCAAGAAAAAGGGCAGACCAGTAATAGAGCTCAGTAGTCAAGGTCTCCACAGACAAGATCCCACTGAGGCAACGTCTTTTCCTTATGATATCTGGAGTCAATAGCAACACTCTCCACTGGGAACTGTGCAAGATCTGAATCAAATATGAATTATGCATGAGAATTTCAGCTCATATGCCATACATGGTCTGCTGCTGCTTATGTTCAAAGGCTTCTTTTGCCAGTAAACTGACAAGACTGTGCTTCTCAAACTTTTTCCTTCATTGCTGAAAAAAACCCTGACTATGTGTTTTCTCTGTGAGACAACAGATCTGGACTAGTTGGACTGTCTTAAAACTGTAGTGAGGACAGGACACTGTAGTTTATACCATGAGGCAGCAAAATAATGTGAACAAAATACATCGCTTTATGGTTGATCTCACCTACTTACTTTACAGTAACAACTGCAGGCACCTTACCTGCAATGTGACTTTCTGGCTAGATACCTCATGTCTATACACTACACCACAGCAAGCATTTTGTTTTTGTACAGGAAGAAAAAAAAAAAAAGGGAGTCTTGGAAGTGTGCACTATTCTTTCTGAAAGAAGTTTAAGACTCAAACAGGAAGAGCACATGGATATTTCTATGAACACCCAACATAAAAAGAGCCTGAAGGCATGCAGCTTTACCTGTTGATTTTGGTAGGCTGTCACTGTGGTGAAGACAGTCTCGGGAAAGTTGAAGGTTTTCACACCATCGCCTAAAGGAACTGGCTTTGTAGGAGAAAGATCACTGCTGAAATCCTTACGGATTACATGAACACGAGGCTGGTACTTATGCATCGAATGTAAGATTATCTGAAGAGAAGACAAAAGAAGGAAAAAGATTTTTTTAAAAAGAGTTTTTGCAAGTATTTTGCACTGCATCCAGATGTACAAGGAAGCAGGGATGGAAGAAGGGCTAACAGGAAGAAGGTGACTCTTCTCTTGCAAGAACGCATGATAAAAATTTTGTGCTATGTGCAGAGAGAAAGGGGTTTTATTGCTTTATAGAGTCAGGCAACATTTTGAGGAAAATCACCAAAGCAGGGAAAAAAGCTCCATAACTCTGCAGAGTAGCTATAGACCAGTGTTCTCAGCAGGACACAGGTGTATTGCAACAGCAGCAGCACACTTCTGAGTCCCAGAGGAGTGAGGTTGGTGCAGTAGGCACCAGGCTTAGCTTCTAACTTACATGGCCTTGATCATCAAGCTCGTTATTGGTCAGCTTGAGCTTGTCAAAACTGACCACCTGCCTCATCCAGGTGTCTCCAGAAGCCAGTGAGTCGGGGTGGATGTAAACCCTTGGGGGCACTGGAGAGTCAGCATTGCCGGCCACCATCCACTTGGAGCTGTGATACACATACCTGAAAGAGGAAGAGGAGATGGCTAAGGGAAGTTGTCCCTTGGTCACTGGAGGAACATTTCCAGAGCTCCCCCTCCCCTATCACTCTACCACACGCACCCCAAACTCTCATTTGCAGTCAGGAAAGAATGTGCTTTATTGCAACCTCCTACCTTCTAAATGAAAGCCAGATTACCCCTGAGCCACTTGTTCAGACTTGATTCCTTATTAAAACCACCTTTGCAGTTATTTTCCCTGTAAAACTCTGCCACATGTGCCTTCTCAACTCGTTAAGCCTCACTGAGCCAGAGTAAGAGGCTAGAAAATATGGGTAAACAAAACCCTCTGAAAATATTAATAAATGCCCTGTAATTTCCGGAAAGCTGCACTGGCTGCCATGAAAGACTGTGCAAAACACATGTGTCTTCACCAAGAAAGGGCAAAATTCAATGGATAGCACTAGAACAATTGATAAAACAGAATTTCTAGTTTGAAATATTGTAAAATCAGGAATTCCATACAGTATTACACATATTTGGATTAAAGGAAAAAATTGGTTTTGCATTCCTGGTCTTCTGTGATATTTTATGTTCCCGATCTAGCCATCCTATAGATGCCATAAATTTCTCTACTACAGTTTTGCTCCTTCAGCCTAAGGCATTTCACAAATGGTCCTGCTAACACCTCTGAGCTTTGCCCTGTGCTGCCCCTCACTGGGTCTCTGCCCAGCTCTGCTAAGCTATTTCAGTCCTTACCTACAAACAGTGACTCATTTCCTGTATTTTCACAAGAAATCTAAAAAAAAAAAAAAACAGAATCTGTTCCTTTCAGTGCTAGTTTTCTTTATGTGGCTGCACAGGCTAACAAGGACAGAAACAAAGTGTAAGATGATATATTTATTTTCTATGCTAATGCTGTCAGAACCACACTCAAAGAAAGTGCGAAAACATACAGCTGCGCATCAGACACTACCTTGATGCTTCCCAGGAAAGTATGAGAAACACCCTGCACAATCTGAGAGCGAAAATGCAATGTTTAGCATTTGAAGCAGAGGAACAATTCTTGAATCCTTGAAATGTGGTGCTGTCAAGACTATCTGGGGAAAAACACTTGCTCCCAGGAGCCTTTTAATGAGTATAAATAAATCATCTCTGGATAGTTCTCTGGGATGCAGAGAGTTGTGATTTTTCTGGAGTACTTTTTAGGATTGGAAGCTCATTAATATCAGAGAAATCTCCTCTTCCTGACTTTCATCTCAGCTGTGGAGATTGACTAGAGAGTTTCTCAATGTCTTCAGTGTAGGTCAGGGCCCATATCCCCTGTGGCTGCTGTGGTTCTAGAATAAAAATCACCCAATTTAATTCAGGCCAGCCCTGAGGCACCCATTTTAGTTCAGCTGCTATTTGTCCATTCCTTTTGTGCTGAAGTTGATTTAGAGGCTCTAGATTCTCTATTGATAACATCAGTCATCAGTTCCCTCAGACAGTCATTTCTAATCATGTCAGTTGTGAAACGTATGCTAGGGATCTCCCCAGTCCAAAACTGCTATTTGAAAAGAGCAAGATTTCAATCCAAAAGTGCGAGGGAATATATTAAACATCTGGGATTGTGTCCCATGATTCTAGTCAAATCATCTATGTTGGCGTAAATCAACATGGTCTTCTCCAGCATACCTTTGCAATGATGTATAACGGCATGTGTCTTCCCTTGGCTGTCATTGACGGTGAGTTAACAGAAGGTTCCTGCCTCTGCACCCAAAAAGCTTACCGGTATCTCTTGTTATCCACTGGCACAATGTCCATGGCAATATAATACTGCTGGTGGGGATCCAAGCCTGTAATTTTCACTCTCATGGCTGGAAACATTCTCCTAGGAAAAGAACCATAGAAATAAGGAAGAAAATAGTGAATGACGAAGTTGAAGATTCTCCTTAGACCTCTCTTTGACACCAGGAACACACTGTTTTACACAGCTCAGTTCTTGGCATGAGTCCTCTGGGCTTGGTGTGGGTAGCAAAGACTGTGCTGGCAGTGATTTGAATTTTCAAGTTTTTCCACTTAAGAAAAGAAGTCACAGGATAGCAACCTGTGGGTAACAATAAAATACTCACAGTTGAGCACTCTGTCTGTTTCCAGCTCCTAGCAGACAGTTCAGTTGTGCTCCACATAAATTGTCTTCTCTAGGCATTGCTAGGGTGGGCAGTGTACCTTCTTCCTGCTGTTTTGCTGCTGTCCATCAATCTATAATTATTCTCTCATATTTCATTAAAAGCCAGGTCACTTTAGTTCTCTTTTTTTGAGAAAATCACATTTCATTCCAGGGGGTGATAGTACTGGAGTAATATTTAAAGCAAATTCAACATACTGAAAGATCCTTTCACTTTCATGTTTACAGATATTTAAGAAAAAAGTCCCTCAAATTAATCTGCTCATTAGGCATATATTTCACATTTAACAGAAACACTGATATTATTGTCACAGTTTTCTTGAAGTCCTGGTAGTACTTCGTGCATTTTTTTTAATGTGTTGTCTTTTCTACATCATATGATCCAGGTCTGACTCAAGCATTTTGTCCCGAAAAGTTATGAAGCTCAGTTCCCAACCTTTCTTTTCTTGTCTTGGCACAAGTTTAGCTCCTCTGTGCACTAGTCACTGTTCTGGAGGTGTTTGTAGCAAGGCAATTATTTCAGAGGAGAACAGTTCAGAACAGTTTTAACCTCAAAGCATGTCTATGTTACCATGGCTATGGCACTAAAATTTTCTTGTGGCCAGTAGTCCAATTGCCATTCTACAATTCCCTCAAACAGTATATGCCTGGAAGAGGGAGAAAAAAAGGAAAGTTTAAGTCAGCATCTCCAAACGTGTTTCTAAATTTCTAAAATTTTGCACTGAAGGGATGCAATCATGAGAACCTATTATATACTTTCCGATCCAGGCCACATACACCCACTTGGAGAAGTAGGGGGGAAGGAGGAAACTGGTGCTTAGCTTTCCATTTCAAGCCACTAAGAAGAAAAGTATTGACCTGTTAGTAACTGCATCCGCCTTGGAAAAAGGCATTTATCATGGAGGGTGGGGAGAGCATCACCCCACAGCTGCCAGATCACAGCTAACCCAAGTTATGAGAGACATAAAACTGTCAGAAAAATTGTCTGCAGAAACCCTTCAAGGGGAGAGCAGATTTGTGCAACTGATGCTGTGTTTGCTTGCTGAATGATTCTGAGTGAAAAAAGGGAATAATGGATTAGTCTTCGGTGGCTTGAGAGCATTACCTTGTCTCTACCACAATGGCTCGTTAAATCTGCCAAGCCAAATGGGTACAGGATGTGACATTTTACAGTCCAGCTCTGCTTAATTGGAGAGAGGTGGCTTGGGAGCAGCTTAAGATGTAGGTCATGTTTCAAAGGATTGATGAGAAACCCAGGATTAAATCTGAGTCTCTTCTGGTCTAAGTCTGCACACTGTATTGGGAAAATTGAAAGCTGTACGTCCCAAGAAGCTCTCTCCAAATCTGCAGCCCCGTGTAAAGTTGCAGTATAGCCTGTGGGGTTGTTTGCTTATGAAATACCTTGTAAAAGATTACCGCAGACCACTCGACAGGCTTAGAGGCTAATCTCTAAAATGATCGGAGGGAGCTCGGCTGATCCCACTGCTTTCTCTAAGGTTTAAGTCTACTTTTAAAGTTTTGTAAATTATTACCATTTCTCTTTTTCTGTGGGTATAAAAGTAACTCATGTTTCTTTGCCATAAGGATGTGGCCTGGAACTGCCACAGCAGGTCTCCAGCAGCATTGCTGTGTGGTAATGGGAAAACAGAGGCAAACAGTGGTGGTTTAGGGATGTACTCAGGTGTAATCCTGGCTAAGTCCTGGTGCTCTGCGTTTCCTTTTGGCCAGCTCTTGGCCCTCTAGAGGCACCAGCACTATAGAAACCAGGAGTCTCAAAGGTTTGGAAGGATTTCAGGCCATGTGAGTATGGCTGTATTAATAAACAGTCAAGAATCTTTCATCTAGAAAGATATCAGCTAGCTTTATAGTCAGCAACTACAGACACGAAGGCTGTCTGTTTTCATAGGGAACACATGATGACATCTGATATATTTTAGGAGGAGGTTTTATATCAACAGCAGTTTGGGATGATCAAGCTATTTATATTTTAGCTCTACCACGCAGCAGGAAAACAGTCTTCCTAAACTTAGACTGTGAACTTACACACAGTACCCTTTTAGAGGAAATACAATGTGATATGAATTAAGTTATTACAATTACTTTAGGATCACTTAGAAGTGTCTTAAAAAGCATTTTTGTAACGACCATGTGCTTCCGTCTATCCAATTCCTCTCTCTTTCCATAAGAAGAATGAGGATTATAAAACTCTGAATGTGAAGAAAATGAACGATACATAAAGATCTCTAGAACTTGATTAAAATAGTATTTGCCAGCACAGTGGTGTTCTGATATTAAGAATAAGTTCTGGGAACTTCCAGTAATAGAAAGAAGTAGCTAGACTGTTGCAGCCACTATTATTTTTCTGTTGCTGTTTAAAAACTTCATTTAACACAAAAATACAGACAAAAAATTTGTCTATTGACAGCAATAGACAGAGTAGTCATTCCCCAGTCACGAAAAAATCTAATTAAGAAACTTTGTAAACCAATCTGATTTAGCTTTGCAGATTAAATGTGCACAGTGTTTACAGTGTGCATGAATTTACAGGGCAGTCTAAAGTCATCATTATTACTTTATATCTCCTATTTCCTTGCATTTAAGGCTGGTGTCAAATGTAATATTTCTTTATAAAAACAAACCTGTGAGGAGTGTAAGTGAGGCAAGGCAAGGCAAGGCAAGGCAAGGCAAGGAGCATGGGCTCAAGTAAGAGGAGATGTGTGTGTTGAGAGGAAGTCTGAGGGCAGGGTTTGGGAGCAAAAGGATTTATTGTTGATGAGGGAGAGGGAGCTCAGTAGATATTCTCAGTGGCTCCCAAAGGGAACATCTTTCTGAAAGCTGGCCCACTGGGCCAGGACCTCTGGGCAGCAGTTTGTTGTTGTAGCCTGCCAGTCGTCACTCTGAGAAGCTCTCTCCACAGGCCCCTTCAGCATCAACAGAACTTTGCAAAAAAATCCTTGCACTGTGGAGTCCTTCCTTCCACTGAAAACAAAAAAAAACGTCTTGTAATGTAAACAGCCCCAAGTGCACATTTCTAATAACTCAGACTCATGGTTTCAGGGAGATAAATTCCAGATGAATTATCATTTAACCTATCAGGAGGCACAGATAGGAGTCAGGAGAGGACATGGTCACCTGTTCCACTCACTGTTGGCTTTTTCTACTCTTATTATTGAACCCAGCCTCAGCATATAGGTTTGAGCCATCTCACAGTACCTATATGGTAATTATGATATGACATTTCCTTGAGTTCTGAGATAAGATCCTGGCTCTGCGACAGGTAGAACCCAGGTACCCAGAGGAATACCTGCTGGCTGTGCTTGTGTGCGTGGTTGCACTTGTGCAAATACCTCCATGAACAGTAGGCAGCACCTCCCTCCCAGATTCGGGCTCCAAGCACTCTTTGTAGTGCATCCCCATGGCAATAAGTGCACATTGCTTTCCCCTTTGGGCAGCACGTCTATGCAGCAGTTAATGAACAGTTACCTCGGCAGCTCAAGTGACTACGGACTATGAGATTGTATGGGTGTGGGGAGGGATTCAGAATAAATTGGGAGTGGGAGTCTGAAAGTTAAAAAGTGCAGTAGGCCAGACACAGGCAGGATATAGCTCCAGAAATATGTTTGAAATGAGAATGTAAGTTAAAAAAAAAACAGTAAGGGCAGAAAGACGTTGTGGGGTCTGGCAGGAACCAAGCAGTGACTCACGAGTCATAGAAAATTAAGGAGCAGCTATAGTTACAGGCAACTGTATCTGTAATTTTAAGCGTTTTCAAAATAAGACATAGCCTTTCAGGACTCAAACAGGGTTTCCAAAGAGAAAGCAAAGATAAAGAGCAAAATCTTCCCTGGGAAAAGAAAAAGTTGCAAATTACACTGTGCATCTCTTGCAATTTTAGTAAGTAGCAGGAAATCTTCGGGAAATAACACCAGTTCTTTTCTTTCCAAGAAATCACACAATCTAATCTATGAGATGCATTCCATATCGAGAAACAGGACAGCTAAACTCAACTTTCACCCATCATAGACACGTCCTCTCCGAAAGAAAAATGTTTAACCTGAGAGGTTAAACATTTAATCTGTCACTTTTATCATATCCATAAGGACCATAACCAATAAATATATGTCCTATGCAAAGAAATCACCCAACTCTTCATTATACTTTGTAATGGTTAATTTACAAATGTAGTTATCAGAAAAACAAAAATCCCTCCAATATCGTTAATATCACTTCTGGGGAAGCAGAAAAAATACATGTATTTAGCAGCTATATAGATTTTGTATGGGCAGCCAGTGATGAGCTAGATGGCCACCAGGACTAAAGTAATGATAAGCATCTTCTTTCATGTATATTAAATATTATTTAAGATTGTAAAGAATATATGATGTGCATGGTAAGTCATGACTCTGTACTGCGATACATGGTCCTTCATTAGTGAAAAATTATCAAGACTGAAGCTTGCAGAGGCACTGGAGAATGTTATTAATAGTGCTACAGAAAAAAATCCTGGAAAGAGATATATTTCACCGTCACAGAATCACAGAATGCTAGGGGTGGGAAGGAACCTCAAAAGATCATCTAGTCCAGCCCCCCTGCCAGAGCAGGATCACCTACAGTAGGTCACACAGGAACATGTCCAGGCGGGTTTTGAATGTCTCCAGAGAAGGAGACTCCACAACCTTCCTGGGCAGCCTGTGCCAGTGCTCTGTCACCCTCACAGTGAAAAAGTTTTTCCTAATATTTTTGTGGAACCTCCTATGTTCCAGCTTGTACACATTGCCCCTTGTCCTATCATTGGACATCACTGAAAAGAGCCTGGCTCCATCCTCCTGACACTCCCCCTTGACGTATTTATAAAGATTTATGAGGTCACCGCTCAGCCTCCTCTTCTCCAAGCTAAAGAGACCCAGCTCCTTCAGCCTTTCCTCATAAGGGAGATGTTCCACTCCCTTCATCATCTTTGTGACTCTGCGCTGGACTCTCTCAAGCAGTTCCCTGTCTCTCCTGAGCCGAGGGACCCAGAACTGGACACAATATTCAAGACGTGGCCTCACCAGGGCAGAGTAGAGGGGCAGGAGGACCTCTCTTGACCTACTAGCTACTCCCCTTCTAATACACCCCAGGACGCCATTG